GATTATCGGGCTGGACTTTCGTAGGCAGTAATTAAGTAGTAAGTACATGTAAACCATGCCTTAACGTTACCTAATCTCTTCTTTTTAGCAGATTAGCCCGAACGGATACCCAAGAATGGGAGCCGCCGTCACTCGACCCCAAGTGATCCCCGACTACGAGACAGTTCCGGTCAATAACAACGAAAAGTGGGCCGATGAGGTCTGGAATAAGCCGCAAATCGAGCAAACGCAGGTGAGCAGCATATTAGATAGAAATACGACATTGTTATCATTCTTTTGGCCGGAATTGGATCAAATCTTGGAGCAAAAAACAAGCGTTTCTAAGTAGCAGGGGTGAAAAATGCATTTTAAGCCACAATTGAGCTATTTTGACCGAGAACTGGACTGAATTTTAGCAGTCTAGCAGCGTCTGGAGCAGTACTAGTACCGTACTTTTTCCAGGCGAGCATCATCGAAAAGCAGCAGCGCGAGATCGAGCGGCTGATGATGGAGAACGAGAAGCTGCGCCGGCAAATGTCTGACGTGCCACCGTTGAAGGACCCGTCCACACAGGTACGGTATCAAAAGAAATAAAAAATAAATAATAAAAAATTACCAAGAATCAGAGATTACGGTAGTTAGGGCACGAAATAGCGTAGTTATAACTTCCCAAAGACATGGATTTTTAACTTGACGGGTGAAGGACTATAGAGGGCTATAACTCGAGCTCAGGCCAAGTTACGGTAGCTAGGGCCCCGATTAGAAAACTGTCACTTTTTATCAGGTTTTCTATATAATTTGGATATTAATATATTTAACAAATATATAGAGCTTTTAAAATAGGATCACTTTTAGCCTCGACGTCTGGCAAAATTTCCCACGTCAGATCTATGAAAAATTGGTAAAAATCTTTCAAAAATAGGCTTTCTCCTAAACGTTTTGCTTTGGACCCGGGTTTTGCTTCCCTATTTGTCATTTTTGCTTTTTTGGCCCTGCGCTTATTATATAAAGCTATTTAAAAAAACCTATGGTTTTTGTAGCTAATCGACAGTGGCGCTTCCGAGGACTCATTCTGCTCGACCGGCTCGATCGATCGGCGCCACGTGGCGCTTACGCAATGAAAATAGCCCGGCTCTACCGTAGTCCGAAAAGACGCTTTTTAGAAAATCAAGTTTATGCCTATGTATTTTGTCTAATAATGTGTGTATGTCCATGCCCGAAATGCAAAATCTACGTCATATCCCCGCCTCTCGCACTTTATCACCTGAAAAACCCCTGGGTATCGATGAACCTAAAAAATTGGATCGATTTTGTGATAGCTTAGAAATTCGCTAAAAAAATCCCACGCAAAATGAGCTTTCCCGGCAGCAATAATTTTATATTTTATCATAAATTGGATATTTTAATACCCCTCAACGTGACCCTATTTGTATATATTAGCATGTTTTTCTGTCTTTTTGCGTCTTTTTGTGGATCTCCGCCCGTATTTTTGACCCTGTTGATGTGTAAAATTCAAATTTTTGTAGAAACTTTTTGTAAGGTTGATATTTTGCGTTGTGTGCCTCATATCGCTTGGTGCAAAGAGCCCCGTTTATGCAAATACAAAAATTTGTGCCCTCTCCCAACCGCTGCTACCCTCAACTCCCACCTACACTCAGACATAATAAAATTTTATTCGGTTTGAAATTGATGGCCGTGAAAATGCAAGACAACGAAATTTACAACAGAGAAAAACGGCAAGAGAGAGAGAGAGAGAGAGCTCTCGATTGGGAGAGTGCGATAGAGACCGAGCGAGAGAGAGAGGGAGGGAGAGAAAGAGTGAGCGAGCCAGAGAGAAAGAAGGAGAGAGAAAGAGCGAGGGAGGGAGAGAGGGAAAGAGAGAGAGAGAGAACGAGAGAAAGAGAGAAAGGAAAAGGGAGAGAGGGAGTAAATAGGTAGAGAGAGAACGAGAGAGAGACAGAGAGAAAGAGAGATACAGACAGAGAGTGAGAGAGAGAGAGAGAGAGAGAGAGAGAGAGAGAGGGACAGACAGACAGAGGGAGAGAGACAGAGACTGATGGCAGCAAAAGGCTTGGTGAGAGCAGATGTTTTTGAGAGTGTGCGTGTCTAGTGGTGGGAATTACCGCTATCGCACGGGTCAGTGACATTTCTCAACTAGTTTCAACATTTTCTCACCTGTATTGGCTGTCTACCTACTCCTATCTATTAATTTATCCTCGTTTTCAGATCCTCGCTTCATGGATTTCATCCGCCTGCCTCGCGATTTTCATGAGCGCGTCGTCGAACACCTGGAAGAAGCGGACGTTCGCACCCGCTTCCGCTACTCCCAAACATGCCGATTTCTCTGGCAGATGACCGAGCATATGTGGACATATGATATCTGCTTCCGGAGCACAGAGGCGGTTGGCCATCGCTGCTGATCCAACGGAGTGCCGAAGTCGTTTCTGAATGGCTGCCGGGAGAACTCGACGGGCCCTACTTTGAGGATGAGCCTGGTGCAACTCTGCCGCCCAACGCCAAATGCTGGTTCCAGCGCGGGAACCAGCTGCCCAGAAACCTCAGCGCGCTTGAAGCGCTCAAAACCCGCGAAGGAAAATATCTAGAAGCCAAGCTGATCACCAAGCGATTGACTGCTCCCTTGGTTCGATTCATCAATGCCCATGTCTACAGAATCGTCTGTACACTCGGGGCGGACTCGTTGATCACATTGCGATGCCCCGAATTCTGCTTTAAATTCGAGGAGAAGGACCATGCCAAAATCAAGCACTTTTTTACGACGCTGGTTTCCGAGTGGAGGGCCGGCACCTGGCAGATCGTCTTCGGTGAATGCTTTGTCGAGCCGAGCTATATTCCGCAATTCATGAGTGACGCAATACTAAATGGTGTAATCACAGAAGGGGACAGGAAACTGCAGATCGAGTTCTACGCCCGCTGTGCCTATCGATTTCGGGAAGCTTCTTGAAGACGCGTTGCAGCTCATCAAAGCGGAGTGACTTTTACAATGGCTATTCGTTTTCGTTTCTGACCATCTTGTGAATAAATGAAGTCCAAAACTTATTTGCTTCTACCAACCACATCTCATGTTTTTATTGACAGCTCCGGAATGGCCCACATAGTTGAGGAGCGTGGAGAGAGAGGGGGAGGAGAGAGAGGGGGAATCGAGAGAGAGAGAGAGAGAGAGAGAGAGACAGAAACAGAGACACATATCGAAAGTGATGGAGACCGATAGTCGCAAACCGCTCGTGCAAGCAGATGTTTTTGAGGATCTTCGGGTCAAGTTCGCGGGAATTACCGCTCTTGCCTGGATGGCTGACACTTCCCAGCTCGCTTCAAAATTTTATCACGTTTCGCTTTCTTTAGAACTCTTCCAGAAAGTAGCTAACATCTATCCTCATTTTCAGATCCGCGCTTCATGGATTTCACGCGCCTGCCTCGCGATTTTCATCAGCGCGTCCTGGAACTCCTGGAGGAAGAGGACGTCCGCACCCGTTTCCGCTACTCCCAAACATGCCGATTTCTTTGGGAGATGACCGAGCGGATGGGGACATGTGATATCTGCATCCCGAAGCACACTGGCGGTGGTTGGCCATCGCTGCTGATCCAACGGAGTGCGGAAGTGGTTTCTAAATGGCTGCCAGGAGCACTCGAGGGACCCTACTCTGAGGACGGGCCTGGTGTAAATTTACCGCCTCACTCGAGATTATGGTTTTAGCGCGGGAACCAGCTGCCCAGAAACCTCAGCGCACTTGAATCGTTCAAAACCCGCGAAGGTCAATACCTAGAAGCCAGGCTGTTGACTAGGCGATTGACTGCTCCCTTGGTTCGATTCATCAATGCTCATGTCTACAGAATCGTCTGTACACTCGAGGCGGACTCGTTGATCACATTGCGATGCCCGCAATTCTGGTTTAGGTTCGAGGAGGAGGACCATGCCAAAATCCGGTACTTTTTCACGACGCTAATTTCCGAGTGGAGGGCCGGTACCCGGCAGATCATCTTCGGCGAATGCTTTGTCGAGCCGAGCTATGTTCCGGAATTCATGCGTGACGCAATAGATGGTGTAATCACAGCAGGGGACAGGAAACTGCAGATCGAGTTCTTCGGAGGCTGTGCTTATCGATTTCAGTAAGTTTTTTGAAGACGCGTTGCAGTTACTTAAGGCCGATTGTACTGACTTTTAAATGAATTGTTCTTTTCGACCATTTCGCAGAAATAAATCGAATTCTAATCCGAGCATGGATAAGCTTTAATTTGCACGTTATGCCTTCAGTACCTCTACCATGAGGGCGTCGTGGGGAGAAAGAGAGAGCGAGAGATAGAGAGATAGAGAGAGTGAGAGAGATAGAGAGATATAGTGAGAGAGACCGAGAGAGAAAAAGAGAGAAAAAAGGAAGAAAGAAGCGGAGGGTGACAGCGAGAGAATGAGGGAGAGAGAAGGATCGAGTAACGATATATGGAAAGAAAGGCGAGAAAAGAGAGAAAAAAGGAAGAAAGAAGCGGAGGGTGACAGCGAGAGAATGAGGGAGAGAGAAGGATCGAGTAACGATATATGGAAAGAGAAAGAGCGAGAGATATAGAGAGACATAGAGTGAGAGAGATAGAGAGAATGATAGCCGCAGGCTTCGTGCCAGCAGATGTTTTTGAGAGTGCGCGGGTCATTCGCGGGAATTACCACTATCGCGCGGGACGCTGCCAGTTCTCAACTAGTTTCAACATTTTCTCACCTTTTTTGGCTGTCTACCTACTCCTATCTAATTTATCCTCGTTTTCAGATCCTCGCTTCATGGATTTCATCCGCCTGCCTCGCGATTTTCACGAGCGCGTCGTCGAACTCCTGGAAGAAGCGGACGTTCGCACCCGCTTCCGCTACTCCCAAACATGCCGATTTCTCTGGCAGATGACCGAGCGTATGTGGACATATGATCTCAGCTTCCCGGAGCACAGTGGCGGTTGGCAATCGCTGCTAATCCAACGAAGTGCGGAAGTCGTTCCTGAATGGCTGGAGGGCCCCTACTTTGAGGATGAGCCTGGTGCAACTCTGCCGCCCAACGGGAAATGCTGGTTTCAGAGCGGGAACCAGCGGCCCAAAAAACCTCAGCGCGCTCGAATCGTTCAAAAATCGTGAAGGGCAATACGAAGAAGCCCAGCTGGGGGCCTTGCGCTTGACTGCCCCCCTGGCTCGATTCATTAATCGTTCTGTCTACAGAATCATCTGTTTCCTCGAGGCAGACTCGTTGCTAACGCTGCGATGCCCCGAATTCGGCTTTTGGCTCAAGGAGAAGGACGCGGCCAGTGCCGAGCGCCTTCTCACGACGCTGATTTCCGAGTGGAGGACCGGTAGCCGAAGAATCGTTTTCGGTAAATGCGTTGCCGAGTCGAGCTATATTCCGGAATTCATGCGTGACGCAATAGATGGTGTAATCACAGAAGGGGACAGGAAACTGCAGATCGAGTTCTTCGAAGGCTGCGTCTATCAATTTCGGGAAATTTCTTGAAGACGTGTTGCAGTTATTCAGAGCGAGTGACTTTTACAATAGTTATACGTTTTCCTTTTTGACCATCGTGGGAATAAATTAAATTCAAAACCTATTTTTATGTACAAGCATCTGTTGAAACATCGGAATGATCGGAGTCGTTGAGATGGGCGGAGAGAGAAGGTAGAGGGAGAGAGCGCGCGCGCGAAAGAGGGAGGGAGGGAGGGTGGGATTGTATTACGGATGGACAAAAAGCGATTGGTCCCCACCTCCTCGCCAGGGGCCGAGCCTACAGAGCAGCAGAATAATTACGACATACAATGCGCGTCTGCATTTTCTGGTGGTTTGCCATCGTCATCATATTATTGCCTTCTTTTCTAGCAACTTCACTCAGCAAAGGGGTAAAAATGTTTTTTTTTCGCTAATAGTTTCTCTTCTGCGCCTTTCCGAACCTTGATTTCCGCAAAACTAAGAGAATGGCACTCGAAATTTATCATTTGAGTCAGGTTAATTCAAGTTGAATTTAAGTCAATTCATTTATATGTATTTTTTCGCCAGAGGAATAGGGCATCGTCAAGGAATTGAAGAGAGGAATAGAGTCGGTATTTTCGAAAATCAAATATTTCGATTTTTTCCAAGTTGTAAAAAAACAGTAGGTTCCTCTAAAAATAACTGCGCGGCGGCTAGCTGCAGAACACCCATTCCGAATTTCGGGTCGAAATTTTTAGCGCATGGCAAAACCTTAAATGTTGTGGTCAATGGTAGTTGCGAATATTTATGAGCACCGAACCACCTTTATCTTAGGTTTTTTGGCATTATCGGGGGGGGGGGCAGGTTAACCGGGGTGCCAAGCTTATTAAGGATTCGATTTTCATTTTGTACTAATCCTAAACGTAAAAGATTTACAGAATTTGATTACAAAATGTAAAAAAAATATTGAATTTTTGATTAATTTGATCACGAAATGCAAAAAATATTGAATTTTCGACTAATTTTGAATTTTTATCAAAAATTTTTATCAAAATTTCTACTAAAAACATTTTTAAGTTTTGTAATTGCTTTTCCACTTATAAAAAAAATTAAATTGAGTAAAAAATCTTTGCAGACATTTAATATTACCCTACCAGTTATTTCTAAACTATAGGAAAAGTTGGTCCCCCCCGATAATGCTAAAGAACCTTACTTTATTATTGTAATTAAATTGTATTGGAATTTTCGGTATTTTCCTTACTTCATTCCTTGTCCTCAACACCATTTTCAGGGCTGTCTTCATGGAGTTCCTCCAATTGCCCCATCTTTTTCATCTACGTCTGGCGCACTTCATGGCCGGGGCGGATCCGCTTACCCGTCAGGGCTACTCGATGACTTGTCGTTACTTATGGAATCTCGTGGAGAGCGGAGGCGATTATGACGCGTACTTTGCATCCGGAGACAAAACGTGTCATTCGCTAATTATCCAAGGACGTGGCGCGGACTGCTTTACATTCCAGAAATACAAATTCCCCGAAGCCAAGCCAAACTCCGTAGGCATTCGGCACCCAGCTCTACCCCAACGGACCACGTTTTGGCCCATAAAAACAAGTGATGTCGAGAGGCTGGGTTCGGCTTGCAAGGTAATCATATTTGACCCACTTCTCAAACCGCCACATAGCATAGATCAATCGGTAGAGAATTTAGGGAAGACTTTTCGGTATTTTCGCTATTTTGTCGAGATTTTTGCAACGCCATTCGTAATAGCGTCGAAAAATATACTCAGAGTTTTAATTTGAGCTTACAATAATGCAAAATAAAGGCTATTCTTAAAAGGCCAGGAGAACCTTAGAGCTTGGGCTGGTACCTTGGGACACTATAGACGCAGGGATAGCACGCATGTACAGTTCCTCATTACGACAGCCATTAGCTAATTAGATAGCGGGGGATTGAGAGAGACGCAGACACAAAAAGGCAGAGAGGGTTCGACGCCTGGCCGTGACAATTCTTTTTTTAATTCGTTATTGGCTAAACTAGCCCTTTAAAGCCAACTTCGAATCAATTTTTTGGGGTATAATGGGTACTCATCGGATAGCGGGGGGGCGGAGATAAAATAACGGGGGGGCACCCATTATTATGAAATTTGCAATTACTGTCTCGGATTTTGTGAGTGCCATTCGATAGAACGTCAAAAAAATACACGAAGAGAATTAATTTCAGCCCGAAATAATGTAATGGAAATTTTCTATCAAATAGACAAAAATTTATCAAAATCCATGGGCAGCACATAGGATAGAGGGGGGAGCCAAATTTTTGACTTTTTCGATATTTTGAAAACGCCAATCGATAGAACGTCAAAAAATATATTAAGAGATTTTTTACAACGCGAAAAAATGTATTATAAAAGTTTTATAGCCTAAAAACTATTTTTGAAAACGATGGGCAGCACATAGGATAACGGGAGGAGCATATTTTCGGCGTTTTGAATATTTTTGATATTTTGAAAATACCCGATAGAGAGCCGAAAAATATACTAAGATCTTTTTTATGGCCCAAAAAAGCATATTTAAAAATACTTTTATCATAAAAAACTTTGAGTGCCCCCTCCGTTATTGCCCTCCCCCCGCTATGCGATGTGGAGCATATAATGTATTAGAGGTTAGGAATATTAGAGGAAATACGGTATGTTTCATAGCGGTTTGCGACATGGATCAAAACCACTTCCCGTTTTCAGACAGCGGATGGCAAGTACACGCACATATTACTGCGCGTCCGGACGCTGACGCCCAGGTTGCTGCGGTTCATCAACACTCATGTCCACAAGCTCAGCACCGGCGACGTCACCGGGGTGACCGGGCTCTACTGCCCGGTCTTCTACATTACGGCATTAGGTCGTCGAAGGGAACATATAGTTTGGTCGATGATCGCCGACTGGCAGGCTGGAAAACGACGAATCATCAAGGGCGTCATCCGCAGCCCGAAGATGGACACGGACCCGGAATTTCGGGGAAAGCTGCAGGGAGACCATGTGTATATGAACGGCGAGAGGACTCTCCGAGTTCGTGTCAATCACCATGGAAATTACCTTTTGGAGGAGACAACGCATCTCGGAACTTCTCAAAGATTTTGATAATTTTGCTGTGAAAGAAGCCGCTGTTTGAAATGCATAGTTTCGGCCGGGAATGCAATTTTTTTGTTAATGAATCTAATTCCTAATTTTTATCGGGTTTGTCCCACATATCTCTTGATGCTCTTGCCTGGCCATGTTTGCCGTTATTCCCATCGTTGCCACGAACCCTGTGTACGAGATGAGTCTAAATTTAAATTACTATTAAAAAAATTTCCTACGGTATTTTCCGAAATTACAAAGTATCAGGATAATTAACTTATAGCGTAAGCGAATGTAGCGAATGAGCGTAAGAGAAGAGCGAGGTAGAGAGAGAGAGAGATAAAAACGAGCGTATGCGTTTGTATGCAACTTCCGTGAATTTGTCCGCTCGCCAGATTGCACCTGTGGCTGACTGGTATCCATCCGCGCTTCCCGAACGGGAGGCCTGGGTTCGACCCCCGGCCGCGGCAAAAATCTTTGCTTTCTTGCCAAAAAACGTCCATGAACGTGCCCTTTAAGGGGAGTGATATTTATTTTCTGCATGATACCGATTCCCACCTCTATGACCCACTACGACTCTACGCTTACTGTGCTACCGCGCGCTGTTTGGCGTTGATGAGTTACGGGTTACGCTACGGGTTGAGATTGTACACTTTGAAAATGCAAACATCACGAGTGTGGACGTCGCAAGCTTGTTATTAGCGCGCATAATTCTCGACTTGATCGTACTTTTAATGCATGTACACAAATGGATCTAAGGGCCTTGGCAGATGCTATTTTTAGGTATCGTAGCTTCGATCAATCAATATAAATTTGCACTTCGTAGCTCAACAAATTCCGCAGCACAACACAGCCTATTTGTGCTCTGCTCCCGTTAATTCTCCTTTTCATTATTTTCTCGGTTCTCTCTCGCTCATTCTCTTTTTCTCACTCCATATCTCTCGCGCTCTCTATCTCACTTTAGGCACTCTATCTATCACACACACGCTCGCTATCTCTATTTCTCGCTCTCTCTTTTCATCTATCATTTCTCCATAAAAATTATATCCTTTGATGCTTCGTCCTCGAGCCGATACCTTAAAGCTAACTTGCGATTTTCAGAGAAACGCATCAATGGAGCTCATGATCCTCTCCCAAGAGTTCCACAAGCGCGTCGTCGAGTTGTTGTGCAGCACCGACCCCCGCACCCGCTTCCGCTTCTCCCGAACATGTCGATATTTTTGGGACTTGACCGAAAAGTGCGCAGTCGCCCAACCTGGCTATGACATCGCTATTTTCAACGGAAGCGCTCGCGGACTGCTGATTCAGGGCCGCGGTGACGACAAGGCTGAGATCCCTTTCCGGCTGTCCGGTCCAACCTTCGACGAGATCCCAGAAGCTGCTCATCTCCCAAAGAACTCGAGGTTGTGGCTGAACGGCTCCAACTCGGACCCAATCCCGCTACTCGCCACTTTCAAGGCGCCGAGTGGAAAGTATCGAAGTGTCGAGCTCAAGGTTCGGCATTTAAGCCCCGAGCTCGTCCGGTTATTCAACAACCACGTTGAACGTGTCGGCTGGACCGGCGATCCGGAAACGATGAGCACACTGCGCTGCCAAAAATTCCGCTTTCTACTCCCTGAGCAGCACCAGGAAATGTTCGTGCTCCTCGTGGAGACATTACTTGAAGAATGGAGAGCGGGGCTCCGCCAGATTAGCGATGGCGCCATTTTTGGAGCGCCGACCGAGAGCGAGATCAATTTCGGGAGGGAACACTTTCGGGAGGATGGGATGATGCTGAAGGTCACCTACGCTGGATCTGGGTGCTACTTGCTAAATGCTTATGCGACGTTTTGAAACCTGAGTTGTGTGGCTTCCGATTCAATAAATAAAAGACAATTTTTGGAAAAGCGTACATCATAAGAAACAAATAGTCAATTTCATTTAGGGCTAGTGATTACTAGTGAGAGCTAACAAATTAAAAATTAATTAAAACACTAAAATTAAAATTTGGAACTAAAATTTACTAAAAAAGAGTTTTTTCGGAAACTTGTTTGGGATGGTGTTACAAGGAGAGGCGGTATCAGCGATGTTCTAATGTATTCAAATGCTCGCCGCACTGGTAGGCTTTTAACGCTCTCACCAAAACGACCCCCGAGGCAACCAGTTCATCCAAAATTTCGAAGATGACAGATGGCTTGATCGATTCGCCCTTTGTAAGGGGCCTTTTTGACCCACCCGCCAAACAACAAACTTTATCTAGTTTTCCTGACCTTCGCCCAGTTCTCCATAAAAAACCGCTACCATACCTGACCGCTACCCCAGATTCCAAATCCTTTCCTTTTCAGGTCAATACGCCATGGACTTTCTGCACTTACCCTACACCTTCCATAGCAAGTTGGCAGAATACATCGAGGGAATGGACGTCTACACCCGTTTCCGCTTCTCCCGAACCTGTCGGTATCTAGAGCGGTTGACTGAAAAATCGGCCAGCAACCGGATACGTTATGAAGCATATATTTGGAGTCTTGGATTCACTCTTGAGACCCTAAATATCTGGGAACTCGGCCCGGAACGCCCATTGCACATTCCCCGTTCATTGGCCCTCTACCTGGACGATGCTCCGGGACTGCCGAAAAATACAAGGTTCTGGCTGGGCGGCCCAATTGCCAACTCACTTAATCTGCTAAACGACAGAAAGACGAAGAGCGGAAAATACAAATCTATTACGATAGATGCTTCAACCGTGACGCCATTGTTGGTGCGATTCGTGAACGACCATGTCCAGAACCTAATAATTTATACGGATGACCTAGAGTCGGCCACTGCGCTGCGATGTCCACAGCTGCAGATCTGTCTAAATAGAGCGGATGTAACGGCAGTCCAGAAATACTTTAAAACTTTGATTGCTGAGTGGAAAGCCGGAACGGCGAGCTTCGACTTTGTGAAGGTTCATATAGACATCGGGCGATACACACCTAATCCGAGCGCACAAATCCCCACAACGAGCATCGAAGCTGTTCGCGAAGATGGAGCGTCGCTGATCTTTAGTTGCAAGATTGATGGTGGTGGCCTTGGCTGGATGAAAATATTGTCGCTGACCGTGCGTCCCAGGAGCCAACCGAAAAATTTCGAAAACTCAAAGAGCCTAAAACACGGAAGCCGTTTCCGAAGAATTGCGAGAAAACCCTTTTACTGGTTGTTGTCATTTTTGCGTCAATAAATGATTGTGTACTGCAGTACTAAAAATCACAGGGCAGTACAGGAAATTTCATTTGTGACCTAGCCTCTCTTGCGCAGAATTTTTCGCTGATTCGACATCTGGTTTCCAAATTTGCCGGCAAGCTGGATTTCACAAGTTCCAGCCCTTTTTGGTTCCAGTGGACCCAGAAAAGGCTCGCTTTCTTCGCTCTAAAGTCTTGTCGACCAATATATAAAGGAATAATTTTAAATTCTAAAGGAAAAGTCTTCTCCTGTTTCCTTAGTCTTTCGTATTCTAGCCGAAATACATTCATGCTGTTTCAATTTACACATTACACACTTTTCATTAGAGGTCAGACGCTCTTACGAAAAGGGCGCCGGAGGCAATAATGTTCTACCTAATCATTTCAAAGTTGGCAGATGCCTTGATCGATCCATTTTCCATCAGTGGCGCTTTTTAATTTTCCGCTCTATTCCCCCCGTTCTCTATAAAACTTGTCCATTACTTCACCTCCTACTTCAGAATCCAATCCTTTGCCTTTTCAGTGAAATACGCCATGGACTTTCTGGATCTGCCCTACACCTTCCATAGCAAGTTGGCGGAATACATCAATGGAATGGACGTCTACACACGTTTCCGCTTCTCCCGAACCTGTCGATACATGGTGAGGATTGCCGAAAACTCTACCACCAACCGAATCGGATATGAAGCACACTTTCAATGGGCTTTTGATGCTCTGGTGATCCGCGAACTCGGTCCAACTCGTTCGATGTCCCGACCTTCTGGCCTGTACCTGGATGATGCTCCTGGACTACCAAAAAACACAAGGCTCTGGCTGGACGCCCAATTGCCAATCCAATTAATCTGCTAGACCACATAAAGACGAATAGCGGGAAATACAAATTTGTTACGGTGGATGCTTCAAGTGTGACGCCGACGTTGGTGCGATTCGTGAGCGACCATGTCCAAGATCTACTAATTTATACGAATGACCTAGAGTCGGCCACTGCGCTGCGATGTCCACAGCTGGAGATATGTCTAAATAGAGCGGATGCAACGGCTGTCCAGAAATACCTTAAAACTTTGATTGCTGAATGGAAAGCCGGAACGGCGAGCTTCGACTTTGTGAAGGTTCATATAGACCTCGGGCGATACACACCTAATCCGAGCGCACAAATCCCCACAACGAGCATCGAAGCTGTTCGCGAAGATGGAGCGTCGCTGATCTTCAATTGCCGCATCATTGATTATGGTCGTTTTGGCCGGATAAAAGAATTTTCGCTGACTGCGGGTCCCGGGACGCAGCCGAAAAATTTCGAGGACGCAAAGAGCCTAAAAGTTGCCGTAAAAGTTGTCAAAAAGAGCCGTTTCCGAAGAATTGCGAGCAAACCCTTTTACTGGTTGTTGTCGTTTTGCCGCGAATAAATTATTGTGTGCCACAGCGCCGTGAAGAATGAAACACCGGGAAAGTGAACGAGCAGTACGATCGCACAATATCTGCTTTTTCTCTAGATCAAAAAGATGATTGCATCCCGTCATTTTATTTGTTTTAACCAGGAACACTAACCACATTTTTTCCGAAGCTTGTTATTTATACTACCCGGGATCTTTGCGTCGTTAGTAAATCCGTTTCTTAAGTGTTAGCTCACTAATTTTATTTGTTTCTTCATTTTTATTTGTCTCAGACTAATAATTTTGATTTATTATTTAACTGGAAAAAATCGGATTTGTTCTCATAAAAGATCAAGGATAATAGCAAAAAGAATTTCCCGACAACTTCTTTGCAATCTTAACCATGTTTTGCAAGACGCTTAAGCTATAAACAATATTTTTTCAATAA